GAGGTTGCAGTGAGCCGAGATTGTGCCATTGCACTCCAGCCTGGGCAACAGAGTGAAACTTCATCTCAAAAAAAAAAAAAAAAAAAAAAAAAAAAGAGGAAAGCAGATTCTTTTGTAGTTCATAAGTGTAATGATTGGGTGTTCACACACGTGTAAGATGTGCCACCCTCAAACCTTGTTATGATGTCGGCACACTACCTGACTGATGCGAAAAAAAATAGAAGAGGAAAGCAGTGCCACAAATACAAGTAACTACATTAAGAATGGTATATGCTGAGTAGCTCCTTATTTTCTGTGTAGAGTTGGAGGTCAGCTGAAGGATGGGATGCAACTAGGTATTTAAGAGTGAAGAAAGGGCCAGTCTTGGCAACATATTGAGACCCTATCTCTACTTAAAAAAAAAATAATAACCATTCTTGGTGGCATGTGCCTATAGTTTCAGCTACTCAGGAGGCTGAAGCAGGAGCATCCATTGAGCCCAGGAGCCATGATTGTGCCACTGCACTCCAGCTTGGGCAACAGAGCAAGCCCTCATCTCTCTCTCTTTTTTTTTTTTTTTTAAAGAGTGAGGAAAGGGGGGCCCAGGACAAGTAAATGATTCATCAGGTGGCAGTGGAATGACAACCATCTACTATGACTTGACCTATCCTAATTCTAAAAAATAAATCCATTATTAGCAGTATTGTAGATAATTGAATATCCTGCTGTTGAGTGCAGAGTAAAAACTGCACCATCAACAATTGGAAGCTACCAGATAATTCTGGGGATGACTATTACAAATATGACCTGATTTTAAGGGATCTTCATTATTTTTTAGGGCTTGACTTAACTGTACAGTGGTCTTCCTCCGTTTAGTTTGCTGTTTCATGTAATCTGCCTCTGTACTTCTGACTTTTCTGATAAATAGGTTTTTTAAAATTACTGCTTTCATGAAATTGCTTTTTCTTGCCTTGAATGTCCTACATAGTCTGTTTGTCCATTTAACCATTTCTCTTATTATTTTAATACCACCTGATTTCTGATATTTTTGATCTGATATTTAGATCAATTGCTTTTAGACAGTTTTAAGTAATAGTAATGATTATAGCATCTTTGTCCTGTTCTTTAGCACAAGTGTTTCTAGTGCTCTGCCATTAACTCTTAGATTTATTAGTTGAAGATTTGAGAGGTTTTTTTCGATGCTAATAAATATTCTTAATGAAAACCTTTCCGTTAATAAGGAATGTTTTAAAAGGAAGAATGTTGAATTTGTTTTTGTTTTTGAGATAGAGTCTCACTGTGCCACCTAGGCTGGAGTGCAGTGGCACCATCTTGGCTCACTGCAATACTGCACCTACCAGGTTCAAGTGATTCTTCTGCCTCAGTCTCTCGAGTAGCTGGGATTACAGGTGGGCACCCCTGAGCCTGGCTAATCTTTGTATTTGTAGTAGAGATGAGGTTTCACCATGTTGGCCAGGCTGGTCTCAAACACCTGAACTCAAGTGATCTACCCACCTCAGCCTCCCAAAGTGCTAGGATTACAGGCACGAGCTACCGGGCCTGGCCAAGAATATTGAGCTTGATCATATGCTTTTAGATAAACATTGAGATCTCCATAATATACCATTCTTGTTCACTGGTCCACCTCAGCTTCCTGCCTAGGTAATACCTACTGTTTCTTTTAAGGCCTCACATCTTGCCTTTATAAAAAGATTTTTCCGGCCAGGCGTGGTGGCTCACACCTGTAATCCAAGCACTTTGGAGGCCAAGGCGGGCGGATCACCTGAGGTTGGGAGTTCAAGACCAGCCTGACCAACATGGTGAAACCCTGTCTTTTAAAAAAAAAAAAAAAGATTTTTCCATTCAATCTCATTTCTTTCATTTTTGAATTAAATTTCATATACTTCAGTAGCTTTCATTTTGCTCCTTAGATAGGTTTACAAGATTCTCAAAGGCAAGGGACCATATGTAACTTAACCTTCTTTTATATTCCCTATATAAAACTGGGAATATAAACAGGCCCTCATCCCTTCTTCCTTTTTCCTTTTTTCTTTCCATGTTTTTTTTTTTTTTTTTTTTTTTTTTTTTTTTTTTTTTTTTTTTTTTTTGTCTTTCTTTT